ACTGTCACGCCTGATGCCCCAGAGGACAAGCTGCTCCAGCCCTGGCCTCCCCACGCCCCGAGGTCTCTCCGAGGCTCAGGCCTCAGTGCCTCAGCAGTCCGTCTGACGGGAGGACAGCTGGCCATTAGCCAGGGGACCCCTGGTCCAGAGAGCCTTGGCCCGAGGGCCCCTGCAGCCCTGGCCAGGAGCTTCCCCCGCGAGGGAAGCCAGAGCTCTGCAGGGCTCTCCCTGGCCTTACGTGGCTGGTCAGCTGATGTTGGAGTTTAATTCGGAATCCCTGCTGTATCCTTGAACACAGACCACACCAAGACTGGGCGACAGCGGCTGCCTCACCCCCGACAGGCACGACCTAGCCCAGCAGGAGGAGGAGCTGCAGGGCCCATGCTGGGCAGTTCTCTGCATCTCTCCCCAGACAGAGACATAAGACCTTAGAAAAGAGAAAGGCCTTTAAGGGTGGAGGCCAGGGGCGGGGAGGTTTCGGGGACCTTTTCGGCTTGCACCCCACGGTCTCTGCCCTCTGCAGCTTCCTGGGCACAGTCTACACTGCTCACTGTTGTGACAGTGCAGCTCCTGACCATCTCGAATGGTGTCCTCTGCACCCCGAGGGAAGGACTCAGCGTTTGTTGGGCAGTACCACGTGCCGGGCTGGGCCACATGCTCCAAAGCACTGGCCCCTTACCCAGCCACCCTGTGCTGGGTGCCTGCGTCGCTCCACTCACGGGTGAAGACCTGTGGCTCTGAGAGGTCAGAGGTCACCGTCCACAGTGTCGGCAGCAGCAGGGTCTGCCCCGGTGGCCTGGGCCCACCTGTCCCTCACTCCGAGTGCAGCCTTGCAGAGACTGAGCTGGCTTGCCGAGGTCTTGTCTTTTAAGCAAGATTCCCAGGACTCTAACATGGTTTTAAGTCTCATTTTTTCCATATTTACAATAGAGCACAGCTAACGAACGGCAGGAGAGAGGGAGGATCTGAAAAAACCGCTGTCCCTTCCTTCTGACCTTCAGCTTGTCAGAGCTCGGCCGCTTACCCCAGTGCCTGGCGAGTTCCAGGCCAACCAGGCTAGGGACTCGAACCTCAGTTGCCACGTGGCTTCCAGCACTGCATTCAGCCCTCCCTGCTGGCCTCCCTGAGCATCGCAACCTCCTCCAAAGGATGCCTGCCCTGTCCCCAGACGCCCATGCTGGCTCACTGCCTGCCCTCCCCCACCCCTCACTGGTTGTCCCCAGAGGACGACCTTACCGATGAGGTGCACTGGGGTGGCCCCGTGGCAGCATCCGTGGAGCCCCTGCTGCAGCCCAGCTGAAATGGAATGGCAAGAGAGGCCGTTTCTGCAGAGGCATGGCAGCAAGCGATAGGAAAGGGCCCGTCTGCCTCGGGTCTGGGCTGCATCTTGGCACAGCTGGTCCTGGCACAGCCCCTAGAGGGCCACACTGCTCTGCTCCGCTGACGGCCAGGGTGCAGGAAGATGAGGCCAGCCCCCACAGCCCGCGGGCTCTGCATAGGGGAGCCCTGCTCCCAGGTGAAGTACTGCGGCTGAGACTGGCCCAGGCACCCAAGCAAGGAGAGTCCTGCTAAGCCCGCACTTCCTGTTCCTGAACGCCAGGGGGCAGGTGCGGGAATCGGAGTGCTCCCAGAGCCAGAGGCCCGGGAACAGCGGGGAGGGAGCCCCCAGACTTTCTCACTAGGCTCTGTGCCTAGAGCAGCAGAAAAGAATGGGTCTGGGTCGTGGGCCTGAATTTACCCCTCCCTCCCTCTCTCCCTCTTTTTTGCTATCGGGCTGATGTACTCACCAGAGAGAGAGAGAGAGAGAGAGAGAGTGAAGAGGAAAGTGAAAAGCCACTCCCAGAGGGGATGGCCCCTCTCCACTCTCCTCTCGGGATTTTGGGCATGCTTGTACACACACTGGTGTGATTTCTGAGCCACTGGCTCCGAGATTTGAACCATGGTCATGTGGGAGTCCAGCACCCTAACTGCCATGTGTCCTGTGGGCCTTTTTCTCTATTACCCCACGTGGTGTGGCCACGCGGCACCCTCTGCTTCTCCATCCTGTCAGGGTTTCCCCGTCGCACACGCCTGGAGTGTTTTAAGCGGCCAGAGCCATGGCTTGAACCCTCTCCATGTGATCTGACTCCCTCGGCCCTGAATCCTGACTCTGCCTCTAGTTTGCGCTGTGAGCATTCGGGGTTTAGCTTCCGCGGAGTAAAGAAAGACTGTTAAACAGGTAACTTGAAAAGCGTTTTAATTCTGAGGTCCTGGTACAGTTAACGGACAGGTTAATGCTCACAACGGGTCACAAGATCCTGTACTACAGGGCCTCCTGCTGGGGGCTGCAGAGATAGCGCACATCTACAGAGGCCAGCCTCGCCAGGGTGGGACATTCCTGTCCCCTAGGATTGCCACTGAAGGGAGCGCGGGGAGACTGCAGAACCCATCCCTCGGGCTGGTCTCAGAGACCCAGGCTCTGCTGACTGACCCCTCTGGTTTCGCTATGGTGGTTAAAATGCAGGCGCACAGCTGTGGTCTATGACCAGAACACACGTGTGTGAACAAGATGGATTTCTCTCCCCCGACATAGCAGCCCCGACCCCACGCACCCCGTGTCAGCAGGATGGCTCCCGACATCAGGGACAGCCCCGTCCTCCTGTGTCTCTGCCACCCTGGGTGCCACCCTCCCCCCCCACCTGGCGAACTCAGCAGGAGGGAAGAGGCATGACTAGACATGGCTTCTGCTTGGCTTCCACTGGCTCATACTGCCACGTGGCCACACCTAACCTGGAAGGAGGTTGGGCCACGGGCAGTGCCCGCCATCTGGAATTCTCCTGCATGGGAGAGTGACACAAGCACTAGGCTGTCATTCTCTGCCTCCCCTTAAACCACATGGGACGATGGTACACGCTTCCCCGGCACAGGGTGGTGCTGGTTCTGTTCCAGAGGGTGTGGGGATGCTGCCCTCTGGAGATGGCTGGTTGGGAAGGAGCTGCTCTGGGTACTTGGACGGAGGACAGTGAGGCAGGGAGCTGGGAGCAGGGCAACCTCGGGTGAGCCCCACGGAAGGGGGTGCACTCCCCAGCGAGGACTGAGAGGTGCCCATGGTATGGGGCCACCTGAGCAAAGGGGAAGATGTGGACACACACGGGTAAATGGGGTGTCGTGCATACACGCCCATGATTTTCAAGATGTCTGGGCCAGAATTCGAACTGTGCAGTCGGCCACGTGAGATCTGGCTCCCTAAACAGCTGAGTCATGAGGCTGGTCCTTCTGAGTTCTCGCTCCTCTGGCCTCTGGAGCCTCCACCCTCCCAGGGATAACTAATTCTAAGACTGTCCCCAGGGCCCACCTGTGACATGCACACTGACAGCCCACAGGCCCAAGCACCTCTTGAGCACTCTCACAGCGAGGGACCGAGGGACCGTCTCCCTGTGAGACCACTCATAGCCAACCACCTGGACACTACAGGCCACCCTGGGGCCTGCAGCCCTCCGCTGTCCCAGCTATCCCATCCCAAACACATATGACAGACCTGCCTTGCCTTGGCCACTCCCTGTGAGCCCTCGAAGACTCATGGCCTCAGCCCGGCCACCTCCTCCACGTTGACCCCGTGGTGCTGCCCCATCTCCCGTGTCCAGCAGGGCTCTATTGAACCACCATCACTTCCACGCCCTCGTGCTCCACTGTGCCTGGTAAAACCAGCCCTGGGAACGTGCCTCAGGAACTGCAGCCAGCAGGGGCCCAACACCAGGTGATGAAGGCTACGTCCTAGACTGCTCTCAACCTCTGCCTGGACCCAGTGGCAGCCCCTCCTTGGGGACACAGGCGGCACGGTGTACTCGCTGTCAGTGTCACCATGAGCTGCCAGCTTCCTGTGCAGTGCTGCCTGGCCGGCAAGAGCAAGTCTGGGATTGTTCAGCACCCTCTCCCTGTGGGAGCACTGAGGACCAGGGTCGTAGGGTACATGGGTAACCAGTTGCAGTCCTTCCTCAGAAAGGTCTCTGAAAGGGACAAGGAGTGATCAGCCTCCTGGAGCCAAGGGACAAGGTGATCCACTGGCCGGGCCACACTGACAGGCCACCTGCATCACTTAGATGAAGGGTCTGGGGATTAGTTGCCCCCTGGGGCACCGACAAATTGCTACCCGCACTCATGAGCTTCACCGTCCCAGCCTGATCCTGGGGCAGTGGGAGGGTGCCAGCGTCACGGCTCCCCAGGGGATCAGGCACCCCAGGGCACTGCCGCTCAGGTCGCAGACTCCCGTGTCTGTCTGCCGCTGTCCTGAGGTGCTCCCCTGCAGCAGGTGACCAGCTTGCGGGCTGGTGTCAGCAGTGATGGGAAGACTGTGGGCCTCTCACACAGCCCCCCGCACGAACATGTAGCTCTCCACCTGCCCCTGCTTGCCGTCAAGGCTGACCCGGGTCTCTCCTGCACTGACTGGCCAGCTTGCACTGTCCCCTCAGGCACACGGCGTCCCCTGGCCAATGGCATGGCACTGTTAGCAGGCTGCCCCGCTCAACCTTATCAAAAGGGTGGGAGGTACTCAGGCCTGAGGAGAGCTGCTTCTACCCTGACTGCCCGGGTATGCTAACCACTGGTCCCCCCTGTGCGGGGCCCCCCCCCCCCAGACAGACACTGCACATTCCCCGGGTGCTCTAACCACTGGCACTTCTCCCTCTGTGGTCCCCCCCCAAGACAGATTCTGCCCGTTCCCCGGGTGCTCTAACCACTGGTCCTCCCCCCCGTAGGGCCCCCCCCCGAGATAGACATTGCCCGTTCCCTGGGTGCTCTAACCACTGGCCCTCCTCCCTCTGTGGCCCCCTCAGAGAAGCTGCTGGAGGGCCCGGGGAGCCGCTGCTGCCACAGGGGACCAGGTGACGGCAGGCTATTTCACACGTGCGGGGCCAGCAACATGCCAGTGTGGCAGATCCTGCCCTCTAACAGCCACTGACAGCCAACCACGTGGCTTCCTGCCACCCCGCCCAAAGTTGCTGGCAATCGAAGGTCAGACCATCTTCAAGAACGAGGTGGCATGAGAGCCAGGACCAGCATATTTCTGGACCGCTGTTTATTTCCAGTCTCACCTGTCTGCCGGGAGGGCTGCATTACGCCCTGGGCTAGTACAGGAGGAAGCATAACTAATGTGGGGTAAACGTGGTAGGTGAGCCCCACAAGGTGGCCCGAGTCCCCCAAACAGCCACGCAGAGGCAGTCTGTGAGGCCAATGTCCCCCCTCAAGGCTGTGTGGGAAACAGGTCGCAGAGGAGCCTCGGAAGGTGGAGGCACCTGCCCTCTGGCCAACAAGGACAAGGATGAGCAAGAACAGTGAGGGCCTGGCCACTTCCTCCCTGCCAGGCACCTCCTGGATGTCAATAACCCAAAACCATCCCGCCAGCCGTGGCTGCAGCTGCTGCTGTGAGCACAGCCTATGGGCTGGGGATGCGCCACCGTGGACCTGTGGCGTGGCGTGGCGGTGGGCCCAGGGCTGGTGGGGTCATTTACTGGCCACGGCAGAAAGCTGGTCTCGGATGCGGCCCAAGCCGTCTAGCATGGTGTCCAGCGTTTCTTTGCTCAGCTCCATGGTGACAGCCGAGACGGAGGGTTTGTCCCCGCATAGCCTGGGGTCTTCTTGGATCTGAAAGGGGAACATGGCCCAGAGTGAAGGCTGGCCCTCCATTCCTCTCCCCTTGCCACTGAGCTGTGTGGATGCCTCAGCTGGGGTGAAGGCAGGCTTTTCGCTAAGAGGTGGAGGTCTGTTAGCAACTGGGGAAAGTGAAAGAGAGGGTCTGCAGAGTGCCTCAGTGGGCATGCAGAAGAGCAGGACACAGCCCCGAGCCTGTCCGACTCAGCATGCCAGTGAGAAATGTGTGTGCGCACACTGGGTGCCAAGACTGTCCAACGGAAGGCAGGAAAAATGACAGCTTCTAGTTATGTTTACTTGTAGCCTTAAAAAAGAAAGAAAGAAAGAAAGAAAGAAAGAAAGAAAAGAAAAGAAGAAAAGAAAAGAAAAAAGAAAAGAAAAGAAAAGAAAAGAAAAGAAAAGAAAAGAAAAGAAAAGAAAAGAAAAGAAAAGAAAAGAAAAAGAAAAAGAAAGAAAGAAAAAGAAAGAAAGAAATTTAGCCCTACTGGTACCTAGAAGTTGTTACGGGCACCTTTTCTTACAGGTGTTGACTCTCTGAGTGTCTGGTTAAGTAGAGAGACCGGTACACGATCCAGTTTTGACTAAACTGACCCTACCACATGGGCATGTGAAGAGGGTAGTCTTTTCAGACTGCTAAGTAGGGACGCCGCTGAGACGGGGCATGTGGACACAGGGCAGTTTGTCAGAGGGAACGAAAAGCTCGGTCGGGGACGCACTACCCTGATGGCTCTCTGGAATGCAAACACACAGCCCTAAGCCGCTCGGGTGAGATGTCTCTTGTCTCTCGTGGTAGATGGTCATCTTTACCTGTCAGCAAATTGTTTTAAGAAAATTATGGCTTGCAGGACCAGCATTTGGCGTGTGACTATATCGCTGGACTCCCATGTAGTTGACCGTGGTTCAAGTCCCAGACCCAGTGGCTTAAACTCATGCCGGGTGTGTGTGCGTGCGTGCCCAAGATCCCGAGAGAACAGAGGAGAAGGGACTGTGGCATGGCCATCCCCCCGGGGGGTGATTTCTCACTTTCTGTCTCTGTCTTTCTGGCAAGTGCTGGCGCCCTATAGCAAAAATCTCTCCAAAAATAAAAAGAATACTGTGGTTTGCATCTGTTGGTTTCTCCTTCCAGGGCAGGCTTTGCGATGGCAAGGCAACATCACTACAGTGGCATCCGCGCACACCGTATAAACGCGTGGATTTTTTGGACTGGAGATCCCCAGCTTTGGAGACTGACTTTCAACGGCCTGGGGTGCCAATCCCGCTGCCCCGTCGTTCTTCCTGGTGCACATGACAGGGGACCTACCTTCACCTGGAGCAGGCAGGTGGGGACGGCCATGCGGCCGACACTGTCCGAGGAGGCTTTGATGTCCACTCTCCAGTCCAGGTCAACCAGGCGTGGCAGAGAGACTGGGGGGACAGCACAGCTGAACACTCGGGCCTTTATGCCATGACACGTGGCTCTAATGGCCACGCCACAAATAACCGAGTCAATCTTCAAAGAGTCCCTGAGAGACGGACAGGCAGGCCCAAGACCCGCTGCTGCTGTGCTCAGCCTGCTCCTGTCGGGCAGCAGCTCCAGGCTCCTGGACCCGACCCTCCAGGCGCCAGGCCTGAAGGAGAAGCGACGTCTTTAGGGAGGAGTCCCGGCTGAGTCTCAGGGACACATACCTACCTGTCCAAGCCCTGAGCTGTGTCCTCACTTGGGAAAGGGAGGCACCTAAGCCCAGTTCACAGGGACGCTGGGGGGACCGAGTGAGTGTAGGGACATGCCCAGCACTGAGGCCGGCCCCGAGCACGAGGCCATGCACTGGACCCTCCCGTCTACTCCATCTTTCAAGCTGATTTCAATCACTAGTGATTTTTTCCTAATTGAAACATAATTATTTTAAGTACTTCATTTTCTGCTTTAAAATTTCCATGTATTTTTAACAATATGTCTCTATAGTAAAGTTTATAATCAGAAAATAAATAAATAACACCAACACAGAGTTGTGGTTGGGACTGGTCACCAGGCAGATGGGGTGGGGTGGGGCGGGTGAGGAGGAGGGGAGGGTCGACTCCCTGGTACTCACTCTGGCTGGCTTGGGCATCAGTTCTCCATGTAGATCTGTT